GTCTGGGGATAGACTTTTGAGCCAGGACTTCTACCTGGCTTTGGAGGACTGCAGTCTTAGTTCTGGCAATAATCTTAAAGCAATAATAATGGCCTCTCTTCTGTAAGACTTTCCAGGGAATTGTAAATAAAATCTTAATCCTTCCTCAATCACTGTCTGAAATTGCAGGGGGGGGGAGGTTAGGGTCTCAGTCTCAGATATCTGGCCTAGCCCCAGCCATTAGAAAGCTCCAGTACTAGCTTTCTCTCCACTGTTCATTTACCCCAGAGACCCAAGCACTGTGCGCCTAGGCACCACTCTCATCAAGGGCCCAGCACCAAAGCACTTGGGCCCCAGTTTCCTTCCTTCCTTCCGTTGCCACATTCCTTAGAACCCAGAGAGATCTGGCTTCGTGGTCTTTTTCCTCCCCCTGACACCACTGCCCTCACACTTCTGGTCTTATACTCCTTAATTTCACTCTTGCCTGATACCCACACATGCTAAGGAACAAGTTTCTTGTGGTTTTCTTGTGGCTGAATGGGAGGGCTGTTCTGAAGTTGAGGCTTTGGGATTTGGTGAAGGAGAGGTAAAATGAAAACTGGTCGATGGTTGAGATGATACAGAGAAAGGGAAAGGAGTTATCGCTATAAAGGACAAAAAGAAAACGTGTGAGGATGGCAGAAAAGCAGAATTGAATGGGATTGTGTCAGATACAGCCCCTTAGTCTTCCCCAAAGGACTCCGATGTCCCTGAGATAGAAAGTGGGTGGGAAGTTACAACCTTTAAAGATCACAAGGCAGGGAAGAATGTGCTCTGCCTTTCTTAAAATACAACTTTGCCATTCCCCGGGGGGCTCATTTGGTTGGAGCATCCTCCGGTACAGGTTACGGGTTCGAGTCCCAGTCAGGGCACATAACTAGTTGTGTGTTTGGTCCCCAGTTGGGGGGCGTGCGGGAGGCAGCCGATCCATGTTTCTCTCACATCAATGTTTCTCTCACTCTCCCTGTCACTCTAAAAATCAATGAAAACGTAACCTCGGGTGAGGATTAAAAAACAACCACCACCTCACCATCTCCCTGCTACCCATCCTCACCCCTGATCGTGAAGCTGGGAGAGCAATTTCCAAAAGAGAAAAAGCAGCATATACCACTTTCTGGATTAGCAACCAACTGGATCAACTAATGAATACTTACACACCATTCCCATCATTTCCTACTCATTTGGAAAGACTGTGGAGGAAACCAAGAGGTAAAATGTATGACTAAACTATCGTTAGTTTTTCTGTAACAAACATACATGAATTTATAAATTCAAAATAGTCCTCTCTTATATAACCACCTTGGAGGGTTATGCACTTCTTTTAAAAATGTCTCCCCCATTGCTCAGAACATTTTAAAAAGCTCCTTATAATTACCTTCAGAGGCAGTTTAGAAACCCCCTGCAAAAAAACCTTCCTTTATTGTCACACCTCATTCACCACATTTATCACTCACCTCACTCATTCATTTTTTTTAATATATGTTTTTAATGGACTTTAGACAGGAAGGGAGAGGGAGAAAAAAAAGCATTGGTTACCTCTGGTACACACCCCAGGGACCGAACCACAACCTGGGTATGTGCCCTGACTGGGAATCCAACTGGCGGCCTTTCAGTGCATGGGATGACATTCACCAACTGAGCCACACCAGCCAGGCAACTTCACCCATTAATTTAACAAATATTTACTGAGTCCTACTATGGGATACAATGGTGAACAAAACCAGACTCAGAACAACCTTCATGGAACTTACAAATGGGCGGAACAAACAAACAACACCCGTACTGCACCTTCAGTTGTCCAAAGGCCAGAGGAAAGGCTGCACCGAGAGCTGACAGACAAGTAGGTGTTACTAAGGTGAAAGCCAGAAGGTGAGGGGAACAGCATACAAGCAAGCTTTGCAGCAGAAAAGAACATAGGATCCAAAGATCTCCAAAGTCCAAGTGTCTAAGGACAAAGAGGCAACGGAAGCAGAATGTGAGACACGAGTGGCTTCAGAACATACAGTGACTTAGAGGGCACTCTAGAATATTCTTTGTCTTAAGGACGGTAAGAAACTTTCTAGATCAATTATCTATTGATACACAAATCACCTCCAAAATTTAGTGGCTTGAAACAACTTCTAAACACAATTTTCTTCATCATTTTTTTCATAATTCTGTGAGCTGGTTGTAGATTTCTGGATTTGGATAAAAAAAAGTAGGAAACACTGGAAGAGATGCTGATTTGGACAAGGAGAGGATTGGTTTGGGTCCTGGAAGATAAATAAGAAAAGAGGAGCAAGTGACTGGATACCCAGGTCTGAAGCTTAGAGAGGCTTTAACTGTGAAACACGTTGGGAGCATTTATATAATCAAATCTACCTTAAAAGTTTAAGATTTAATCACCAACTGGGGATATTAAAATATGTGAGATCTCTGAACACCATCCCAAAGAGAATTTCCAAAACAGTTTTGAATTACGACAGCATCATTGAAACAAGTAGGTAGCTTCCCCCAAGTGACCATGAAGACAATACAACTTAGAAGTTCTGAAATGATTGCTTAAAAATACTGGTATACCTCCTCACAAAGATTACCCTCTAAGGTTTTAACAATGTAGTTAAAAAGCAAAACCAACTCTACATTGCCTATTACTGCCAGTAAATGCATTGGTCTAGAGCAGTGGTCGGCAAACCACGGCTCGTGAGCCACATGCGGCTCTTTGGCCCCTTGAGTGTGGCTCTTCCACAAAATACCACGCACGTACAGTGCGATGGAAACTTCGTGGCCCATGCGCAGAAGTCGGTTTTCGGAAAGGAGATAGACAAAACAAGTATACAAGACGAGTGTGGATGGGAGAGTTGGAAGGGGTCGACCTCAGCGAACGAACGTACCTCAATCAGATTGAGGACTTTTTTAGCAAAGGCCAGCTTAGGAGTCCCCTAATTAAGTTAATAACAATGTACCTACCTATATAGTTTAAGTTTAAAAAATTTGGCTCTCAAAAGAAATTTCAATCGTTGTACTGTTGATATTTGGCTCTGTTGACTAATGAGTTTACCAACCACTGGACTAGGCCATATAATGTTTGCATGAAGATTTACTTGAAGTGATATTTGCAACCATAGTAAAACAAAGACTTATATTTTTTATATTTATTTTATATATTTAAATGCCATTTAACAAAGAAAAATCAACCAAAAAAATGAGTTCATAGGTTTGCCATCACTGGTCTAGAGAAACCCACCTGGTATTGACCCAGAGAGATGGGGGTTGAAAATGTTGGGTAGTGAGAAGTTAAAATGAATACCATCTAGGCTGGGGCCACAGGATAATAATTATAGCTAATATGTGGCATTTACTCTGTGCTAGGCACCGTTCTAAGCCCTTTACCTATGTAAGCTCATTTAATCCTATTATTATCCACATTTTATAGATGAGGAAACCAAGGCCCAGAGAAGTGAGGTAACTTTGCTCAACGTGTCACAACTAGTAAGTGGTGGCGGCTGGGATATAGGTAGGCTGGCGCGATGTTACCCTCCACACCAGAACCTGGATGGCAGGTCCAGGAGAGGAGGGAGAGGAGGCAGCTGGGGATGGGTGTGGCGCCATGAGGGAATGTGGGCTGTGAGTACCACGTCCTGTTTACCTGTGAGGGAAGTCAGACCCCTGAGTCAGAACTCACGCTGGGCTGCTTTGCTGGAGCCATCATGGTGTGTGGGTGTCTGGGCCTGACTCCTCGGGAACGAAAGGATTCCCAGCATTCCCAAGGCCACGGTCCTGAAATCTAAGTCGCTCCAAAGACTGAGATGTCAACTGGTAGTTGAGCAGTTGGAGAAGAAAGAAAATTGGGGAGCCAGCCTTACCAGAGCACGGTGAGTGTGTGTGTGTGTGTGTGTGTGTGTGTGTGTGTGTGTGTGATGTAGACCAAGGCGAGCTGCGGGCAGAAGGAGAGTATCTGCCAGGCAGCATCCGTTCAAACACCCAGGAGCCCACCAAAGATGGGGCAGGACGGGCACTGGCCCGGGCTGAGGAAGCCTGTGTGGATGGGGCTGTGCAGGTGTGACCAGCTGAGCGAACAGGTGCCAGGGACTGTAGAGACCCGTGCCCGTGGCCGGGTGGGGCTCAGGAAGAGGACTGGGGACTTGCACGGACACAGCAGAATCGAGGTGCACAAGCTTTGTGCGGGGGGCGGGGCGGGTGCAGGAAGGTGTGGAGGGAGTAGAGGGCTGTGTACCTCTTATCTCCCCAGCTCCCCAGTCCTGGCAGCACTCTGGCCTCCTGCCCCATC